CAAATGCCTCCTTTTATAGGTCAAAATTAGAAACAACTGATCTGATGACTAATTGATAAGTGGGTGACCAACTTTTGACTTGGTGACAATCCTTATCTTCTCTTGTTTACCCAAAATATAATTGACACCATCAGAATTGAAACCACTTGAAAACATAAAATTGACAACATCAGAATTGAAACCACTTGAAAACATAAAAATTCTAGGAAATTGTCTTGGCTTTCGCGAAAAAAAAAATTGAGGTCATTTAGACTTCTAAAACTCCAGATATGAGCCAAACACTAAACAGTGTTCGGGCTGCAGGATATATTCGGACTTCTTCATTGTTGTTATAATTTGGACTTGAAAATAGTCCTTTTAAATCTTGGGCTTTATGAAAGTTGTAGGCCTATATCTTACCTTTCCATCCATATAAAGTAGATCTAAATCTGAGATCTACAACTCTAGATATGACCCAATTACCGAACAGTGTTTCAGTTTGGACTGCACCATCAATTAATCCTTTTATTTATGTGATAAACCTGAATTTAAAATGAATATTTGCCATAAATTAAAGGTATCTTATATTATTAGATATGTTATTATAAAACATGCTTTAGTTAAGGAGTTATCAATACTTCAAATGCAAAATAATGATATAAAATCTTGATAAAAATACACTTTTAAGTACTAATTAGTGATTTTGACAATCGACCAGTGACCTCTACTCCTGCATCATGAAATAGGATTTTATCATCTTCGTTAATCAAACTTGACAACCTACTTTAATACCAATTGATGCGGTGTATAACATAGATAAAAACTAAGGTTTTGAATCTCTAAGGTTATATCAGGAAATGATAGAGAAATAGTTTTTTTTTTTTATATTTTATGAAAAGTTTGATCTTCAATGAAAACAAAAACCTACAAGGTTGTTTAAATACAAGAAAAAAAATTATAATTAATAAAATCCTAATGAAATTATAATTCCTAATCTAGATAGGAAAAATAATCCAAATGCAGCACGAGAAAATAAAAAAAATATCAAACAATAACTTGCAAGCCTTATTTGAATAACTTTCTAACATCTAATGGCTATAAAATTTTAATTATATACAAAAAAGAGCCTCTAGAATGTTTTTGTTAGAATTTTAGTTCGATTTAACAATGTTATCAAATGTTATACTTGTTTTATATATTAGACTATGCACTAGATTTTTACAGAACTCTTGAAACCTAAAAAATTTTAACAATTAAAAAAATAATACGACCAAAATAATTATACGAAAAATAATGAATAAAACTTGTTGAATAACATGTTTTAATAAAGTTTGAACGTCAAGCACGAGTATGTATCATTTTTAATTTGACTTTAGATATGCCTCCTAACCATGCCATAACCAATTTTTTGATACATACATATCATTTTATTGATCTCAGCCTAGAAAATTATAGAAGCCATAATCGACCATTAAGAAACATAACCAATAACAAAAACAAAAAAGCATGTCAGCTAATTTGTACCTGATGAGCAATTTGTTTCATCACCTGGCATTTACAGGTGATCTCTTAACTGCTAATGGGCGGTAGTAATGAGGTTGGTTCTATTACAACCTATGACTGCGCTAAATCATCTGATTTCTTTCAATTCTGTACTCCAATACACTAAGGAGAAAGAATTTTGAAAACATGCATATATGGTTGCCTCTATAATTGTTGTGCCCGTATAAGAAACGAGAGTCAGGGAGACACTAACGCTAAAACAAAATTTGCAATTTCTATGATTTGTGGAGGTATACCTAATCCAAAGAATCCATATACTACTTTTTGAAAAAATCCCACCGAAGGACTTCAAACTAAATTCTACTTGAATCCGATCCCATAGCTTATTCCATATAGGAAACTTTGACTTGACATCTCGTTAATCGAACAACCAAACTGTAGATTTTAATAGTTAATGTTTGGTTCGACGTAATCAGATGTCTGCAACTTGGGGTTACTTTTAGGATAATATGATATGCTAGCTGTTAAGAGGGCTAGGAAAGAAAGAAAGAGAGAAAGAATTCTGAGTGGAATTTTAGTTAATCACATGCTTTTAACGTTTTTATATTTATTTTTTTATTTAAAAAGTTTCAATTAAGACTGCAAAACAAAAAATTGATTTGATTTATCATCTAAAGACGGCTCATATCTCAAAGACGTGTGGCAAGATAGAAGAGCAACATGGCCAAGGCTGCGATCATGCTCCCATTTCCAATTAGTACAAATAGAACCCATTCATACAGGGATCCTGCCCATCGCAATAGAACCCATCGGCTGATCAGATATGTCACTTAATTCTCTTAAGATGGCTTATCCATACTATTCTCCTCCACCTCCTTCGCCACCCCCACCACCACCAACCTCACAAGTATTGTGTAATCCTATAAAGACATCACCTACACGCCCAGCACCAGTGCCCTCTCCCTATAAGCCAGGTCCACCTCAACCATTAAAACCACCAAGCTACGCTCCTGGTTCAGCTCCACCACCGAAACTAGCATGGGCACCCTCTCCTGACAAGCCAACTTCACCTAAACCCCCACACGCAACACCACCAAGTTACCATGTTTCACCTCCAACCCCATTAAACGGTCCAGTTTCACCACCTAATAAATTACCACCATATACAACTCCACCACAATATAATATCCCACCACCACCTAAACCTAGCTCAGCCCCACCAGTATATGCTGCACCCCCAACTTTTAACTCGGTGCCACCATCGTCAAATGTTGTATCACCGCCTCCTGGAGGCAATCACACCACTGTCATTGTCGTGTGCGTTTCGCTTGGTGGGGTGTTCTTCCTTGCATTCCTTTTGATTGGCCTCATTTGTTTGGCTAAGAAAAAGAAGAAACCAGTTATGGTTCCTGCAGCTCCAGTTTGTATTGAAGAACATGTAGTAATTCAAGAAACCATTGCTACAGGACAAAGTGAAGAAGAAACTGCGACAGTGTCTATGGAGGATGATGTGCGTATTCATGGAGTTTTAGGTGTTGTTGGTTCTAGTAGTAGTTCGAATACGAGTTCTCCTAGTGGCCCTTCTTCTCCTTCTGAATCAGGCCGGCAACCCAAAGGTCCAAGTCATGGTCAAGGCTACTACGGTCAATATTAAGTTTTTCATTAGCTATCATGAATACAGCCACAACTTGCCTACTTTAAATTCATCGGTTGGTTTCTTTCCTTTCATTTTTTTTCCGGTTATAATTCGTTGATCATACTGCCTGTAATAAGTTTGAAGATTTAAAGTTTTGTACGATCATCTGTGTTTTGATTCTTCAATCATTTCCTGTACCGTTGTTATAATTTAGTTTTGGCCTATTGAATTTTTATTTAAATTTACGTAAGTTAAAATATAAAATTAAAATATTAAAATTATATTTGGATAAAAAATATGATTTGTAACTTGTATAAAAATTAAAAATTACAATATGTTTTTTTTGTTATTTTATTTTTATTATTAAAATAATGATAATTATTTGTTTTTAAATTTAATTCTTAATCAAATTTAATATTATAAAAATTAAAAATTTTATATTTTACACGTGATGAAACTCTTGTATTAGTAGTTTATACAAAAAAAAAAAGGCTGCTATAAGAAAAACCAGAGACATTTTTTAAAAAAAAAAGTTAGAGAAGGCCATTACAAGAAAAAAAAGCCTAAAAAGACTAAAAAATAAAAAATAAAAAATAAACCACAGGTTAAGGGGAAGGTTGGGTGTTGCACTTTCTGCTCTCTGCCGTGACCCCCATCAACCCCTTCAAAAGCCATCATACAGGTTTTCATCCGGTGTTGCAGAAGACGTTTTCGTCTCCTCTATCCCCCCACAGTCCGGCAACAACAGTAGACTGTCAACCAGCAACAGTGGAGTACCCTTCCCTGAGCAATAACCAAGTCTCCAGCTATGGCAGCCGAAAGGGAGTAGTCCATCACCGTGCGTCTTCTCCCTTGCATCAGCCACCTGTCCTGCACCGACCGCAGGTTGCACCCATCAAACGAGCTTCTCTGTACTGCACCGTGGGCAAGCAACAACAGCTGTCTCTCCTTAGCCACGGTTTGCCCAGGACCAACAATATAGGAGGACACTAGGGGCGAAAAACACTAGGGGAAGACAGAGGGCAAACGGACGCAAACACAGGGGAAACAAAACGAAGAACAGAGGGGACACGAAGGAGAAAACCAGAGTAAACACAAGAGACTAAGAAAACAGGCGACCAGAACTAGTGAAGATAAGAAGAAACAAGGGAGAGTGTCTGGCCAACAAACAACCCTCTCTCCCCATCGTGCTCCTGAGGCCAGCGTCTACCGGCTCCTCAGTCGTGAGAAGTTTCTTATCTTGTGAGCACCGTGAGCCTTGCCAAGCAAGTTCTTCGTCTTTCCATGTTTTGTTAAATTAATTGCCCAGTTACTGTTGCATGCATGCATGAGTGATTCACACATGCATGTAACATTGGCCCAACCAGGTAAATGATTTAAGCTTGTGACCCGGCTGGATTGATCAAATCCAATCCAATTTGGTTAGGTTAAATCCAACTTTTAAAAAGAAAACAAATTAAAAAAATAGTTTTTTTTCTTAAAAAATTTAATTTTTGTGGATTTATTTACTTGTGCAAGAGTAAAGAATACCGTATTTTTTGGATTACATAATATTTACCAACGTTAAAAATGAAAATATTCATAAGTGAATATTTATTGACGTTATAGTCATAAATATTATAGGATAACCACAAAAATAAAACACAAACAAACCTTGAGTAATTTAAGACAAAATCAACAATACAACTTGTCTCAGGTAGAATACTTAAGAGGTGATAATATCTTCTCTTTTACTTAACTAGTCTTGTACTATAAAATCTCTATTGACTATTTAGGGTTTCTAGTGACCATAATATTAGATGACGACTACTTGGAAAAGATTTTTTTTTCCCAAAGCACAAGATGTCAAATATCTGTTCTTTTTCAATGAGAATAATAATTAATCGGTCGCCATGATATCTGGGTGATAAATTAATGACATGGTGTTATTATTGTGAATTGTATTTATTTTTAATCCTCTCATGGATAAATTATGGAAAATTTTATATTTTTTTAATTTAGTTTCAAATATGTTTTTGGACAATTTAGTCCTAATCAAAAAATAATTGATTTCAATTTCTTATGAATGTTGGGATTGGAAGAGAGGGGACGAAAATAAAAAACACGGCAATCACGAGTGATGTGCCATAAGTTTTGAAAAAGATACACTTCAGTCTTCTAGCTTATACAATTTCGGTCCTATAATATTTTTCTAATTCTGTTTTGGTACAAAATCTTATTTTTTTTATTTTTTTGTTCTTGATTGAGAGAGGTGAGAGAGAGAGAGAGAGAGAGAGAACATCGAATTCTAGTGGTAAAGAGAAAAACATGTCAATAACATTGATTTAGGCCATTAAAATGAACAATATTTGTGTGAACTTGTTCCATTTGATGAAGAGAGTTCATATCAAGTGTTATTTTGTTTCTTAAAAGTTTGTGAAAAAAAAAATTAGAGCTTGAGTTGATTTTTAGTTTCGGGTTAAGTTTGGTTTTTTATGCAATTTTTTCAAGCTATGGTTTCTAAGGTGTTTTATGTCATAAACAAGTTGAAAAATAGGTGTTAGGGTAAAAAAAAAACCTTGAGCTTGATTTTCTGGCCATTATAGTAGCCAAAATCAAGGCAAAACAAATGATGCTTCGTTTGTCTATTTTTTTTATAAAAAAATTAGGCATATGAATGTTGTTCGCCCTAAAAGTAGCTAAAATAAAGATCTATTCGCGCGATCCCTAATGAAATGGGCCAGGCAATTAGCCTGACCCTTTTTTTTCTATTTTTTTTATTTTGATTAATGGTTCTTATTAGAAAAAAACCCTTAATTATATTTACATTAATACCCCCTCTCTCTTTTATTTTGTTTAGAAAACCTCTTTTAAATAATGAGGATTTTGGTTATGCGTTTAATTTTCAAAAAGGTTTTTTTGATTTATCTATAACTTTTTTTGTATCTTCTGTATAGAGGAACTATAATTTTAAAAATAAAAAAAAATATTTTTTCATATGATATTTCTAATGTGTAACCAAGCATGAGTAATATAACTAGTATTTCTTATTTTGCGTGCATTTATAATAAGTTCAACCATTGATACAATCAGTTATAACTTAATTGGTAATATTTTATTCAAAATCTTAGTTATTGATAAACCCAAATTTAATAGGTAAAAAAAAAACACAACCTTTCAAAAGACCCCATTTAATGTATCTAAACACAATAACACAATAGGGCTTGTCTTAAGGGATGAGCCTCACTCTATAAGCTCATTCTAGGGGAGGAGCTTGATTACATGGGCTCACTCTACTAGAGGATCTATTTTTCATCTTTAATAGGCTTAGGCAACTTACTCGAGCCTAACTCTTCCTTAGAGGTTTTTTTAGGACCCAGCTCGACTCTATGGTCTCATTCTAGGGAGGAGCCCCATTCTATGGGCTCGCTCTAGGGAATGCACCTAGATCTATTTTTCATCTTTAATAGGCTTAGGCAACTTACTCGAGCCTAACTCTTCCTTAGAGGTTTTTTTAGGACCCCATGCAAATATCTCGATATTTTATATTAATTCAATATGTATTATTTTAAGTAGAATACAACTCAAAATATCACAAAAGTGAAATCACACTTCAATCTCTTTTCACCCTAAACGGATAGAACTCATAAATTATAAAGATAGTGACTATTTCAAACTCAAGGTTCACAATCTTTTTATTCTTATCATTTTTAGCACATATATTGTTACAACAAATCTCTTTGAAATATCATTGCATTTTCTTTCTCTATAAAGTTACTGACTTAAGTATTTGAGAGTCCTTATATCCATCAAAGTGGACCTTTTGCATATACGAATTATCAACCACTTGAGCTTTTCATATCAAACCTATAGATAGCTTGACTAAAAATAATGAATTAGATTATTTGAAGTAGGAGATTAACCTATTATTTAACACAATAACTTTATTTCTAAGTGACACAACCAAAATATTGATGTCTTCGAACTTTGAGATGGAATATTAATGTAACGATTAAACAATGATAATAACAAATGTCAAGGTTAGAGGTTCCACTAATGGTATATCAAACAAGTATAGTATAAACTCTTATTATTGAATTGGAAACCACACACAAAGGAGGTTCCAATCAGATTATATATTGTTAACATGATTACATTAGTCATCTTATTCAATTAATGCTAATACTTGTAAATCTCGTCAAGCATTCATGATTATAACTTATGTTAACAATAAATCAAGTTCCTTTCATAGCTCAGGTGTCGGTTATACCATACATTATGGGCTATGAAAGTGCCAAGCATTTGTTGTACCAAGTGTTATACAACATAAATCAAGATTAGTCATTTAACAAGCAAAGTATTAAAGAGTGAACAAGATAACAAATATAAAACATGTTAGTATCAAACATTAAAGTCCATATTAAGTTTACATTATACTTATTCTTACACCATTAGTGTAACCTTTTCACCTTGACATAATTAACTTAGCTAGACATAATGAAAGAAAGCAAAATAGATAAACAAAATAAGAACATAAAAGTTAACTAAGTAAAGGAAAGGAAATGAAAGGCATAAACTTAATATTAATGAAAACAAAGCATAAAAAATACAAAGAGAGAAAGGAAGAGCATGATCTTGATCTGGAAACCAAGATGCCTAAATGCATGGCAAATGCCTCCTTTTATAGGCCAAAAATGGGAACTATTGATTTGATGACTAATTGATAAGTGGGTGACCAACTTTTGACTTGGTGACAATCCTTATCTTCTCTTGTCTGCCCAAAACGTCATTGATAACGTCAAAATTGGAGCCAGTTGCAAACATGAAAGTTGTAGGCAATTGTCTCAGCTTTCTTGTGTAAAAACTTCAGCTCATTTGGACTTCTAGAACTCCAGATATGGCCAAAATACCGAACAGTGCTCGGGCTGGAAGACAGATTCGGGCTTCTTTGTTGTTGCTACAATTTGGACTTGATAATGGCCTTTTTAGATCTTGGGCTCCATATGAAAGTTGTAGGCATGTGTCTTACCTTTCTATCC